CATTAAAACAAACCCCAACAGCTTACTGCAGTATTTACGCAGCTTACCAGCGCCAGCGATCAGGACTTTGGCTTCACAGCAGGAGAAACAGTGCAGCAGGGATTTGGATCTTATGTTGACGTTGAGGAAGGACGCTGTGCATCCCAGCTTGGACAGTGCGAGCCACATCCATACAAACCACGGCTCGTTGCCCAAGAAGAGGGCTACCGTGTCCCCCTGCTTGAGGTGGGCATGCGTTAACAGAGCCCTGGCCACTTTGTTGCTTTCTCTGTCGGCTTGGCTGTACGTGTAGGAGCTTTCCTCGTAAACTATGAACTTCTTATGCGGATGCTCCGCCACTTTGTCTAGAAAACGATCTAAAATACTGTAAAACTTTTTCTCAATTCTGCTCAAGCGTATACCGACATAAATGGAAATAAATGTGCAATATAAATCTTTCAAAAATAAGGATTCCGAAAGTAAATTAGTATGGGTAAAACCGCCAACGCGGTGCACAAAATATATGCAAGCATTTCTTTAATCAAGAGGAATATGTCAGACCTGCTGCTGGATCCAAACGATCGACTTTCAGGAGCCTCCAGCACCTGTTGGATCATTTCCGTTTACTCCTCCTTAACTTTCTCTCCCCTTTTCCTCTTTTCTTTACTGGTGAGGAGTCATGGGAATTTGATGAAGCAGTAATCATTTAAAAACCGAGGAATTATATTTTTTAAACATAGGCCTATATATCGCCTGATTTTTTTTTCTTTAATGTTATTCACCTGGTTACTCCTAACAACAAGTTCACATTAGGGCATTCAGGGGCCATTCTGAGGTATTGATAGCTTATGTCTCATATGACCCATAGTTACTTCAAACCAAGACTGGATTTTGTTACTACACTACACACGGCACACACTCGTAGACATTTATTTTTATTTTATTTACACTTTCTATTCACACTTTAAAGAAATATTTGCCACATGTCATAGAAAAACTTTGTTTGCAGAAAACAGGTTCCTTTCTTGGTCTATTTTTTTTATATATTAAACCATCTTCCACCATCACTGGACCTGTTGAAGAGAAAAACAAATTATTAATTTATAGAGGGTTTATCTTTTTCATTGGATAGTACTGAGACAGATACTAAAAACAAACATGAGACTTATAATTCGGTGTTGTTTCTGAATTTTAATTACTAAAGAAGATCCACTTAAAAATTTTATATCATCATTTTCAGAAATATCTTAAAGGTGTTACCATATTCTTTAACTAATTCCGTTTGACAGATTAGATATAAAGTATGGGATCTAAAAGAATAGATTTCCAGAATATCAAAAAATAAAATCTATAGTAAAAAAGAAATTGAAACCTAATCAAGTCGAATTACAAACACCACCAAGTGTGGTACAATTCCTCAATCTCAAACCCCCCAAATTACTGTCTAAAATACATAAGACACTCTCTAAAATAGATGAGCCAATATCCCTCCCTATTGCAAAATGGGAAGCGGATCTATCAGTCATCTGGTCTCAAATATGCTTGCAAACCTTTAAATTGATTAGAAATCCCAATCTAAAATTAATGCAATATATTGCATTAATTTATGCATTAATTTTAATGCATGCATTAATTTTAAATGCAATCAATGTAGTGTTTTGTATACAAAACACTACATTGATTGCACAGTAAATGTCAATGGATGTTCAGGATGGGTTTTACGTCTTCTAACAACTGCTCACACTGTCAAGGCAATGCACCTGACAATTACATCCATGATCTTTGGTTCTGTCCACCAGTTCAGAGGTTTTGGTGCTCGATATGTGAAAACTTATCAAAGTGTCTCACTGACGGAATGATTTAACCAGAATTATTTAGTTATCTGACATCTAATGTATAATATACAGTTACATTCAGTTCTATGCAATATGCACAACAATTACCTTAAAGTATTAGGATATCGTTGCTGTTGAGCAACGCAGCATCAACAGCAATCAACTCGAAGGAAAATGACAACAGAGGCAAAATATCCGGAAGTTCTTTGGAAATTTTATTACACACTAACACACATTACATCCTCTCTTCACGGCTGCATTTTAGGGGTGTCGAACTCATGGCCTCGAGGGCCGGTTACAACCAGATTAACTCATACAAGGATTTTTACCTCACCCCTCTTCATAACCTTCTGGCTGATCAATGTAGATTTCATAATCGATGGAAGCGTGTAAACATGCTGTCTTCACATCCATTTGATGGAGTAACAGTCCTGTGCTGCTTTCTGTAACAGAACTCTTATGCTTGTTAAGTTAGCTGCTGGTGAGAATGTCTCTCCATAATCTATCCCCATCTTCTGGCTGTAGCCCTTGGCTATGAATCTCGCTTTGTATTAGTCATTTCCTTCAATGTCACTCTTAACGGAATAAACCGACTTTCCCCGCACTGTTTTCTTCCTCTTTGGTGAAGTGGTTTGGGTGAAAGTGTTGTTTCCCTTAATGATTGGATTTCTTCATCCATAGTTTTAATCCAGTTCTTTGAGTTAGATGATTCTAAATGTGTGTGGGACAGCACACACTGCCCTGTTATCAGTAGTCTATGGTAGTGTATGGATCTCGTTGCTACCACTGTTGTCAGTTACAAAGTCATTTAGATGACTAAGTTTTCTTCTCTCCCTTTTTGATAAATCCATAACTGTTCGCTTATTAAAGCATCTGTTCTGTGTTACAGCTGCTGTTTGGATAGGAATAGTTCCACAGGCATTTTGGTAGTGACTCTCAATTAACATGCACTTGCCCATTTCAAAAAGAGTACACTACCCCCTCGCGGCTGTACCATTTTGATGGGGTAAGTACAGCGCTGATGTCTCATGCTTAATGCCATTTTTCCTTAGCAGGGTTTGGAAATCTCTGCAGGTGAACTCTGTACCATTGTCCGATCTGATGCATTTTACATTGCCATATGGGGCAACATCTGCTAGAAATGTCTCTGTTTCTTGCAGTGTATCAGTTTTTTGTCTTCAGGAAATATACAAACACTGAGTTTGAATAATCATCAGTGAATGACTGCACATATTTGAACCCATCAATAGATTTAGTGGCCATCAGACCTGCTAAATCTGTGTGTACCAGTTGTGAAGGAGCTTTTGCTCTTGTATTGGGATTTCTGTTCCGGGTTTGTGATTTCCCTGGATACACACTTCACATTCCTGGTCAGATCTGTCAGTTTTTCATGTAATTTGCATACCGTTAACACTCTGAAATCTTAGTATATCTTCATAGTTGCAATGACCTAATATCTCATGCCATCCCTGTTCATCATGACAAGCATTACATTTATCATTACTCTCAACTTCAGTTTGCAAATATATGTATAATTTGCCATACAACTGAATGTTTGAATGTTTCGTCCTTGTGGGTCAACATGTCCTGCCCTTGTTTAAAGTTGACTGTTGCTAATATAGTGGCTGACTTTACTAAGAAAATGTCTTGGGGGTATGATGGAATAAACAGCGCATCTTTCAGCATTGCTTTGCATCACTGGCCTGTATCGTCAATCAGTAACATCTCTGCGTCCCCCTCTCTGTTGGGCGATGCCTCTGTACAGGGTACCATCTTCCAGCTCCTGTGCGTCTCTGGTTTGAGCTCTTGAACTTGGCTATGTCGTTAATGATGTGTGAGGTATCCCAGGTGCCCACCAGCAGGCCTTTTGCCTTAATGCTGTATGCTGACTGCTGCTGCTGCTGGACTTCGATGTCTGCACCCTTGATCCTGAAGGCATAATCCGACGCTACTGCTTTGGATCCATTGCCGCTCTCATCTGCAACCTTCCTCAAGCCATCTTATTTGTATTTATGTCTAGATGTGATATCATTGTGTGTGTTGCTCTTGCAATTACATTTTTTGCAGGTGGTAGCCTTTAAGTCATTGTTATTCATCCTTCTGTTAGTGAGGAAACTTTTCCTTCCGGGTCCTGCTGGTGCCACTGAGAAGAGCAAGCAGCATCTGCTAAGTGTACTTTTGGACCACTGAGTATTTGGACTACTTTGAAGTACTCACAGACACATTTCATATACAGCTCTATATTTATACACAATGTTGTTGTTTTTTTGCCAGCTTCTACATTGTTATTTGAATGACTATTTAAAGATATTCTCTTAACTTTTGCTGAAGACATTACAGTTTTGCCTTTGTGCTTTGAGAGATGAGTCAATAACTTAAAGGAGGGGTTCTCGTTTTTGGGGGGGGGAACAGGGAATCTTACACTGGGTAAAATTTTTCCGAGGAGCCCCTTGTAAACTTCATGCTGATAAAACTCTGGGTGCTTTGTAATGAGATGCAACTTTAGCTTTGCTGGCTTCATTACTTCATTTGCTAGCACTTAAGGGCACACAGCACATTTTGGTTTTCCTTCATCATTCTCTCTCTTTTTTTTTTTAAATTTTAACACTTTCTCTTTATTGATTTTCATCTTATTTTACATACAGAACTAAAGAGGGCAAGGGAAACCAACACATTCACATATGTTCCCATATTCCAAAATACACAACGCCTTGTTTTACTTACACATATTACATATTACATATTACACAGGTGCATGTTCCATTCAAACAAATTCGCAGCTGTCTCTCTGCATTACAGAGGTATCAGTTTGTCTGTAACCAACACTTAGTAATTGCCTTTTTGCATGCAACCATAATTATTTTCAGTAAGTATGAGTCTCTGTTATTTATATCCCCAGGGATATTCCCAAGGTACATGGTACTAAAGGAGAAGTCCAGTGTTACTTCTAGCACATCCATCACCATTTGTTTAGTCTCCTCCCAAAAGGTCTTCAGTTTAGGGCATGACCAGAAGACATGGAAGCAACCTGCAGCGACCTCCCCGCACTCCCTCCAGCATGAAGCGCCTGAACCACTTATTTTGGATTTCCACTTTGGTGTGATGAAGAATCTAATTAAATTCTTCCATCCAAAATCTCGCCATGTTAAAGAATTGATGGTAGACAACACATTCTTCCACATCCGCAACCAATCTTCCTCTGAGATAGTTATACCTGCTTCTTTTTCCCATCGATGACTGACATATCTTGTTGAGGTCTTTTTCATAACTGTAAAACTTCTGTACATTTTGCCTATAGTACCTCTTATAATGTTCTCACCATAAGCATCCATAAATATTTGGATCACACCACTAGCATCTGCGTCAAGCATTCTAATTTCCTTCTGGAAGAAGCTCCGAACCTGTAGGTAACGATAAAAATCTTCCCTGCCGATCTCGTAAATCTGACACGTCCTCAAAATTGATCAGCTCCCCATGCTTCACAATCTAACAGATCGCAGTGATTCCATGCCTGGACCACTCCCTGAATTTATGATCTAACAATGCTGGAAGGAAGCGTGGGAGATACGCTGGCCATCCCAGCAACCCTATTTCCCTATTAAGACCAAAAATTTTAATCACATCTGCCCATTTTTTCAGGGAAAAACTTGCACATAAATTTTGCATCTGATATGCCTGTGGTAAACTCTCAAGAGACCCCAGAACAGACTGTATTGGGAGATCCATCAAAGAAAGCTCAATGTCCTTCCATTTTGCCTCAAACTTAGAGTTACACCAGCACACTAGAG